GTATTCTCTTAGCTACTTCCTGCTGAAAAGTTCCTTGTTTTTCAATGCAGCATAGTATTCCATTGTGTCAATATACCACAGCTTCTCTATCCATTCATTTGTTGATGGACACTTGGTTGTTTCCAATTCTTTGCTCTTGTGAACAAAGCAGCGATAAATTTGGGTGTGCATATATCTGCTTGAGTGGCAGTTCTAGTTTCTTAAGGGTATATTCCCAGTAGTGGAATTGCTGGGTCAAATGGTTATTTCTCTTTGCAACTTTCTGAGAAAGCACCATAATGCTTTGCAGAGTGGTTGCACCATTTTACACTCCCACCAACTGTGAATAAGGGTTCCAGTTTCTCCACAACCTCGCCACTATTTGTTGTTTGCTACTTTGTTGAATTTTGCTTTTCTTACTGGGGTGAGACAATACCTCATAGTTGTTTTGATCTGTTTCTTTTACTAGACCATGAACACCTTAAAATCCTATACCTCTCCAACTCATCCCCATAATTGCTTTCACTCTTGCTCTTACCTTCTCTCTCTAGCTTTCACCCTTTCTTTCTTGATCTGAATTTCACTTGGACTTTTTATAATCTGTCTCTTACTCCCTCACTTTTATTTTAGAAATTTGAAATTGGCACCTGAAGTATAATGATTCTTCCCAAAACAAGTCCAAGGAATGAATTCCTCAGAATCACTTAGGGAAGTTGGGTGTTTTTGCCTGTGTGTTTGTGTCCTGTCTGTGTGCTTGTTAATAACAGAAGTCTCAGGATAACATTGCAAACCTATCATATCAGTTACTTTGTCGTTTGTGGATTAGACCTAGGAATCTGTATTTAATTTTTTTAAAATCATCTCTTGTTATGCCAAATTTGAATAGAGAAGTAGAAAGACTAGAATAAAAAATACCCAACACTGCATATTCTCAATCAAGAGATGTTGAGGATTTGAACATAAAAGTGATGATTAAGAAACCCTTAGGCAGATTACTGCTAGGAATACATGACCAAGTGAATTAAGTATTTAGAGAAGCTAGCATTACTCACTTTTCAAAGATATGATTAAATACTAATATCAGACCAACCTTTCTGCCCTAGACACAGAGCCATCTATATAAAATACCCCAACCGCACTACCTCTTTCACCTACCTCTCAAATAGCAAAAGGCATTGGAAAATAAGATGTGCCGAAAAACTTAAGTGAACATGGTGCCAGAAGTAACACTTTGAAAGGAACTCTGCAAAATTTCACTCAGAACATTTTTCATTTTTCAATGCAAGGAAATAAATAGTTTTGGCAGTCATCAAACTAGGAAGACAAAAATCTCAGTAGACTTAACTTGCAGCCAGTATCCACTCAAGGCATTTACTGATTTCTTTCCTGTGTGTGTTTAGGTCATACATAGGCAAATAGATTTTATTTTTTCCCCAAGAAACTCACAGAATAGAAGAGATAAAAATTACAATCAAAGTTTTTCATATTAGAAGCACCTTCCTGCTGAACTACTGAGAAAGCCTTTCTCTAGAGCTAGTGCCTGGAATTTGGACTTGGAGCCTCCTAAACTGTGAGATTTTGTTGTATTGGGGAATTGTCTAAAGAGGAGGAAACAAAACATGGAGTCATAGGACCATGAGTATCTTTCTGAAAGGGCCAAAGAGAGTGATAAAAAACATAGTCCCTCACCACCTCAGAGCAGAAAGCAAATCAGAAGCCCTAGATCAGTCCTATAGTGCCTGTAGAGCCCCACCGGCAGAAAGAAGTTGGTTTATTTATTGCTGACTCCCAGTTATGGTATCAACAATGGAGTTTATTAGGAAAGGAAGTTGGAGAGTCAAGGAGGCAAAAAATATCACCCAAAATAAGTCCAGGTTTTAGCCCAACAATTTCAAGGCACAACTCCTTAGTCCAGGCTCCGGTTTTAACTCAGCAAGCAGCTTTTCCTTCCATCATTAAAGGCAAGAACAGCAAAAATCCACCTGTGGCCAAACCAAATGCAATAAGCTCAGGTCACACCCTGCTACAGTTTCTCCACGGTACTGCCAGTCTCGTCATCACCAGGATCTCCCTCGCACCAGAGTTGTTGCCACAAGCCTCATTCACCTCAAGTCTTAATAAAAGTCTTTCTCGCCTCAAGTCTTAATTCAAGTCTTTCTCGCCTCAAGTCTTGCTGCTTAGTGTGAAAATCACTTCTTCACTTACCCTAGTCCCACAACTGATGCTAATTTGCAAGTCCTTGTGTTTACACTTAAAGTAGCTGGAGCTCGCAGTCTAAATGGCTTAAAAACAAAAATAGCCAACTTTTAGACTAACACTACAGGAATGAAGAGGAACAGTTGTAAGCAGACACTGGTGATTGGGACATGGAATGT